GCTTGTTGACATTTTTTCTTAATATTCCCTTATAATCCTTTTTGCTTCTTTAAGATTGGTAGTAATGAGTCCTCTTTCATTCCTGATTTGACATTTGAGTATTTATCTTTGGCAGTCTAGTGGGAGTTGGTCAATTTTATTTATCTTCTCAACCAACTTTTGATTTTTTTTTCTATTGTTTTTCTTTATTTCTATGTATTTCCACTCCAATCTTTAGGATTCCCTTCCTTCTTGCTTTTGGTTTTGATTGCTCTTTTTTTGTAGTTTCTTAAGGTGGAAAGTTAGATTACTTAAGATCTTTCTTTTCTAACATATGTATTTACAGACATAAACTTTCATGTAATTACTACTTTCACTGCATCCCGTAAGTTTTGGTATGTTTTCATTATCATTAATCTGTATTTTTATTTCTTATATTTGTAATGTTTTATTTACTTATTTTGAGGGGGGAGGGGCAGAGAGAGAGGGAGATAGATAATCCCAAATAGACTCTGGTACAGGGCTCAATCGCCCAAACCATGGCATTCATATGTATTTTTAAATGTCCTCATGGGGCACATGCATGGCTCAGTGGTTGAACTTCCAACTTCGGCTCAGGTCATGATCTCGCAATCCATTAGTTCCAGCCCCACGTCAGGCTCTGTGCTGACAGCTCTGAGTCTGGAGCCTGCTTAGGATTGTGTCTCCTTCCCTCTCTCCACTGCCCCCCTCGCACTTTTGTCTCTCTCACTCGCTCTCATGCTCTCTCTTTCAAAAATAAATATTTTTTAAAAATGTAAATGTATTTGTGACTTTGACCCATTGGAGTGCTTGAGAAGACATTATTCTGCTCTGTATGTGTCTGTTAGGTCTGTAGTGTTGTTCACATCAACTCATGTTCAAATACAACACATGTATTTCCATTTTGATCTTCTGTATAGTTCTATCAATTACCAAAAATGAGAGGTTGAACACTCCAGGTGTCAATGAATTGCAGATTTTCCCTTTCAGTTAGGTCAGTTTTTACTTTGTGTATCTTGGGGCTCTGTTTTCAAGTAGAACTGTGTTTGTAATGGTCACGTCCTTTCGATAGATGGACTCTCGTGGCGTTAGAAACTATTTCTCGCTGGGGCGCCTGGGTGGCTTAGTCGGTTAAGCATCTGACTTTCGCTTAGGTCATGATCTCACGGTTCGTGGGTTCGAGCCCCGCGTCGGGCTCTGTGCTGACTGCCAGCTCAGAGCCTGGAGCCTATTTCAGAGTCTGTGTCTCCCTCTCTCTCTGACCCTCCCCTGCTCACGCTGTCTCTCTCTCTCTCCTAGAAATAAATAAAAATTTTAAAAAAAGAAACTATTTCTCGCTATTGCTAAGAACAATTTTAATCTGCAAGTCTTTTATGTCCGATAGCAGTACAGCTACTCCAGCTCCTAGTGCGCTGCCTCCACGTGTGTGCTTTCAGCCCACTCATGTCTCTCCCAGTGCTCTTCTTCATGTGAATTTGAGTCCCTGTCTGCTCACTTTTCATCTCAGCCTGAAGAAACACCACTAGTATTTTTTGTAAAGTAGATCTGCTTTTTTTAGTGTTTATTTATTGGGATTGTCTTAGTTTCCCTTCATTTTTATTTACTTATTTTTTAAACATGGAGTTTCTAACACTAAAACTGAAAGTTTTTTGAGACAGAGAGAGAGCATGAGCACATGAGCAGGGGAGGGGCAGAAAGGGAGAGAGAATCCCAAGCAGCCTCCACACTGTGAGCAGAGAGCCAGATGTGGGCTCGATCTCACAAACAGTGAGATCATAACGTGAGCTGAAATCAAGAGTCAGATGCTTACCCAATGGGGCACCCTAATCTTTTTCTTTCATCAGACCAGTGCCCCCGGCCTTTGGAGTTTCTGATGAGGAATCAGCTGTTAATCTTGTTGAGGATCTAATACATGTGATGAGTCCTTCTCTCTCGATAATTTCAGTAGTCTTGTCTTTTTTTTTAATTGAGCTCTAATTGGCATACAGTATTATATTAGATTATACAACACAATTCAATTATTCCTCTACATTCCAAAATGATCACAAGTCCAGTTAGCATCCGTCACCAGTTACATTTTTTCCCATATTAATAACTTTTAAGATCTACTCTCTTAGCAGCTTTCAAATATTAATATAGTATCATTAACTCTAGCTCAGAGCCTGGAACCTGCTTGGGATCCTGTGTCTCCCTCTCTCTCTGCCCCTCCCCCACTCTGTGTCTAACAAAAGTAAACATTAAAAAAATTTAATACAATAAAAATTAAAATTATAAATTATATGTTTATCTCCTAAGGCCACCATCTTGGCTTCCCCAGGGACCGTTTCTATTGATGGCTCCTCGCCCCCCCATGTAGGAGTCATGCTTTCTTTGCTTATAGGATTCATCATTTTCTTTTGAAAACTGGACAGTAATCTGCCAACTTTGGAAATCACTCTCCCTCCTTCTAACTTGGTGTTCTTTATTATTGGTGGTGCTGTGCCTTTTCTGAACTGAGTCTGTGAGGACTGTGTTCCATGTCACGCGTGACCTCTGTAGTCTTTGGTTGGCTTAGTGATCATCTAATGATTGCACAGATCTCTTAAATGTCTCTCAGCCTTTGCCAGCTGGTTCTGTGCATGTTAGGGCATGACTTCCACACTCAGCCACGCAGCCTACAACTGTATCAGTCTTTACTTCCTCCTTGCGCAGAGCCTCAAGGTAGCCAGTGGTGAGAGCTTAGAGCTTTTTAGGTCTTTCCTGAAAATGCACGTGGCACAGGGCATGGGCTTATCCCAATGCATATGAATGACTTTCTACATTCCCCAGGACTGTCAGAATTTGTTCATTTTTGGTTTTGTTTTTTTTAATGTGTATTTTGAGAGAGCATGTGCATGTGTGTGTGCATGTACAGTATGGACAGAGAGAGAATCCCAAGCAGGCTCTGCGTCGTCACCACAGAGCCTGACACGGGGCTCGATCTCACAAACCATGGGATGGTGACCTGAGCCAAAGCCAGTCGGAGACTTAACCACCCAGGTGTCCCTTGCTCATCTTCTGTTGCCCTTCTGGGGTGATCTTGGGGCAACAACCTATTGTGCTAGTTCAGCATCTTGCCCAGGTCGTGATTCTAAATAAAAGATGCTATGAATATATACACTCCACCTTTTAACAAGTTCACAGTTAATAATACTGTACAATAAGTAGCCTCAGTCCATCCCGTGTCCATTCCACACATAACTTATCTTGGACAGATCAGAAATCCACCTCGTGACAGAATCCCCTAGAAAGCTTCTTAGGCACTCGTGCATGGGGTACACACACAGATTTTGAAGCTGATGTAACAGGACACCAATACTCACCCATTAGAAAAAATTCCAAGTCTTTTTGAGGATGGGAGCGCCTGGAATTTTGCAGACAAATGATGGGAATGTAATATGACACGACTACTTCGGAAGTCTTACGGTTTTTAATAAGGCTCAATACACATTTATCGTACAACCCAGCAGCTCCACTCCTAAGTATTTACCCAAGAGAAATGAGAATGTATGTTTGCACAGAGACTCGCTAGAAATGTTCTGAGCACTTTTATCCATAATAGCCAAAAAATTCAAAAAATAACGCAGGGGACCATTAACGGGAGAGTGGATACACAGATGGCATGTCCGCATCATGGAACACTAGCACCAGTAAAATGGACAAGCTACTGATCCACACAAGACAGGAAATTTCCAAAACCCTGTTGAGCAGAAGCACCCAGGCACAGAAAGGAACGTCCTCTGTGATTTCATTCCTACAGCATGCTGGAAAAGGCAAAACTCTAGTGACAGAAAGCAGGTCAGTGGCTGCCTGGGCCAGTAGCAGAGGGGCACAAGGAACTTGCGGGAGGTGATGGAAACGTTTGATACCTGCGTTGTGGTGGAGGCTCCACAGGTCTATATACTCATCTAATTGCACGAAGCCATATACACTGGAAATGTATGCAGCCTATTGTATGTAAACTAGAGCTCAATAGAATTTTCTTCTTAGTTTTGGGTTTTTATGGTTTTGTTTTTTAAAAAGGTCGTCTGCAAGAGACAACCTTGCTCCTCTAACACAGGTCCCCACTCAGACACGTGCAGAGCCAGGTGGAGGAAGGGAGGCCAAGCAGTCAGGGTGCCCAAAGGGGACAGCCAGCCGGTGCCTGTGTAGACAGGCCAGGTTTATTTTAAATTAAGAGTACATATTTACCGGGGCGCCTGGGTGGCTTAGTCGGTTAAGCGTCCGACTTTCGCTTAGGTCATGATCTCGCGGTTCGCGGGTTCGAGCCCCGCGTTGGGCTCTGTGCTGACTGCCAGCTCGGAGCCTGGAGCCTATTTCAGAGTCTGTGTCTCCCTCTCTCTCTGATCCTCCCCTGCTCATGCTGTCTCTCTCTCTCCTAGAAATAAATAAAAATATATTAAAAAAAAAAAAGTACATATTTACCATTAGCGCCTAATTCAAAGCTTTTGATAATGCCATGCGAGCCACACAAAATGAATCCTCAGGCCACATGTGCCCTACAGGCCACAAGCTTATGGTCTGCACCCTAAAACCTGCCCTGAGTTCAGACAACGGAGCCTCGAGCCAAATGACAGGGTAGCTTCTCCTGGATGTGGCTCCAGCATGGTGCTGCGGACCTTCTCTGAAGGTGATGGGAAGGAGTCCGATGCTCTGGGTCTGGCTCTGACGTGGGAGATGCAGCCCTAAAACCTCTGACAAAAACCAGCTGTGGGAATGACCATTCCTCTCCTGATTCTGCCTCTGGGAGCTCCTCCTATGCCCCTGGGGGTGCCTTACCTGAGTCAGTCACATCAGCACCTGAAAAGGCAGGACAGCCCACGGGGGCTTTGGGAGAACCCGGTTTGCCCACAGTGCCCTGAATTTTGAGGGGTTCAGGCCTGTGTCACTACCCTTGAATGTGTGGCAGTTCTGCCCTCACGCTGCCTGGGGCACGGCCCACTTCCCTGGGCATCTGACATGCCCCTTGTCCCCCGGCTCAGTTTGGGGGCAGCCCGGTGTCCTGCGCCGTGGGTCTGGCCGTCCTGACTGTCCTGGAGAAGGAGCAGCTGCAGGCCCACGCCGCCTCCGTGGGCAGCTTCCTGATGGAGCTCCTCGGGCAACAGAAAGCCAAACACCCCATCATTGGGGATGTCAGGTGAGGCTCGGGGCAGCTGCCAGGGGCCAAGGCGGGGTTCCTGTGTCCCCTCCTAACCACCTGGGGGGGGGTGGATTTTGTGTCATGAGCTGCCAGGGGCCAAGGCGGGGTTCCTGTGTCCCCTCCTAACCACCTGGGGGGGGGGGGTGGATTTTATGTCATCTCCACAGAGCCCTAAAGCCCGGAGAGGTGCTCTTGCCCAAGGCGGCATTCCTAGGGAAGGGAAAACCAGGATCAAACTGGGCTCGGACCCCTAACCTTTCCTGTCACCCCTGGGGCCCTTCCCCTCAGTGACTTCCTAGATCTGGGCCCCCACCTTCTAGGGGTCCCTACAGCACTCAGCCTCCCCAGGAGGCCGAGGAACAAGCCCCAGAGGTCTGCGATGGGCTCAGCTGTGGTCCAGGCATGGGGTGAGGACCAAGACAGCGGCCCCTCGGCCCAGCCTGCTGACATTGCCTTTCTGCTCCAGGGGCATAGGGCTCTTCATCGGTGTGGACCTGATCAAAGACGAGGCAACCAGAACGCCAGCAACCGAAGAAGCCAACTACGTGGTGTCCAGGTATTTTTTTCTCGAGACAAGATACTTTTGCAGCGTCTAGGGCTGTGACTGGGAAGGAGCCTCCCACTCACTTGTCACTGCCCCCAGGCCACATAGGGTTGACTGTAACAGGCATCTGGGCGCCCCCTGGCCTTACAGTCACGGAGAGCAGCCGCATCCTCTCCATGCCCCACGCCTGGCTGCAAAAGCTTCAGGTGGGCACAGGCCACTCCCAACCTAGAATGCCAAAGCCAAGGGGCGCTCGGACCTGAAAGCCACATTTTGCAGACCCAGCCTTCCCCAGGGAAGCAGTTTCTCCAGAGCCACATTGGGGACTGGGGCAGAAGCAGACTTGGGGCTCCTGTCCCCAGAGCAGTGGGTTTTTGGGATGGACAAGGGGAAGGCCTCCGGGTGAGCGAGCCATCTATCCCCACCCCAACCTGGATGCAGGTTCCTGCACTTGTTTCCACCCAGAACCTGAGCCTCAGGGCCCTTCCCCACCTTGGGAAACCCTTCTGGTGTTTGAGGTGTCCTTCTTCAGTGTGAAATGGGCACCGTTCAGTTGTGATCCTGTGAGCAGTAGTAATGATGTAAATGTAAATGTAAAACTGTTTTTCCTCCTGATTTTGAGATTCCCACCCACCCCTCCCTTCCCCCCTTCCCCCAGGGAGCCTCAGGACCCAGAAGCTGTGGGAGGGAGCCAGACCTGACTTCTTCCACTTCACCACCACCCCCACCCCACCCCGTTCTCCAGTTCAGGGAGGAAACTGGAACCTGGGGCATGTCATACCCAAAGGTGGCCTGCTTTAGGTGGTATGGCCAGATTTGGGTGTGGACCTGGTTCTTTCTAGTACAACCACAGTCCATGCCAGAAAGAATGTATGGAAGGAAGGAGCCAGAAGGCAGACTGAGGACACTCCATCTGTTCCTGGCAAGACTTAAAATAACAAAAGGAGTAAATGAAAAAGAATGGAAGTGGGGGTCAGAGAGAACATGAATACCAGCACATCAGGCTTCTTTCTGGCCAAATTACCTTCCTTGTTTAAGTGTGCGTGTGGTATACAAGTACTGGTAATATTAAGGGTGAAGTCATCTCCCTAAAAAGAACTGGAAATTAAAGCTGGGTAGTCCTCTGGGATTTTTTAAAGTTCCCTCGGGGCAGGAAGCAGAATGAGGGTTGGCAGGGAAGTTATGAAGCCAGGTAAGGGGGTGTGTGGGGCTCACTGTACCAGTCTGTGATGCTAGGAAGTGCTAGGATCCTTGCTCTCCCCATAGAGCTATGGTAGGTAGTGTTGGCTTAGGAGCTCTGGGGGTGGATGAGGGGAGGCACCGGGCTCAGGAGCAGGTGCAGGGCACTAGGCAGGAGTCATCAACACTGGCCTACAGAGGCCGGCCGGCCAGTCCTGTGTCCCGGCGGGAGCCGCACCCCAAGCACACTGTGGCTGGAGCCGGGGCCGGATGGCCCTGCCGTGTCCTGTCCTCACAGGATGAAGGAGAACTACATCTTGCTGAGCACTGACGGCCCCGGGAGGAACGTCCTTAAGTTCAAGCCCCCAATGTGCTTCAGTGTAGACGATGCCCGACACGTGGTGGGCAGGATGGATGCCGTCCTGACGGGTAAGCTGGGAGCCCGCGAGGCTGTCTAGAGCCCCATGTGCAGCCAATAGCTCAGACCTTCCAGGCTGCCCAGGAAGGGGGCTCACAGCGAGCCAGGAGCCTTTAGCAGGCGCAGGGAACAGGGGCTAAGGTATGGAGGGGTACCTGGGCCCAGCCACTCCTTTCCCTGGCTGTACCTCCGAGCACCGAGGAGGCACTCGCCATCCTGCTTGGGCACCACTGGCACAGACACAGGGTGAGGGAAGCAGGCCTGCAAGGGCAGAGCCCGCCGCACATCCATGCAATCACGGCAAGGCTGACGGCAGGGGCTTGGCCTTACCTCAAGGCTGGCGTGCCCACGGCTGTGGAGCCGCCTGAATGAGATTTGCACACAGGATTGGTTAAATGCAATGTGGAGTCTCCTCCACATTCCCAATCCCATAGGAAAGTCAGGGTCAGTCCCGGGTCTCCCCTAAATGCACTTAAAAGGCAACCGGGAACGCACTGAGGCAGCGTGCAGAGCCGGGAGCACGGGTGGGCAAGCGGGCAAGGGACCACTCCTGGCAGAATTGAAAGCAGCCCAGCCGGTGGCCCATTCCCCACCAGACACAACTGGAGGTGGTGTGGGACCTGCTGGAGGGAGGGAGGGAGTGTATCTGTGGGGAGCTACATGGCCTGGTGGCCCAGTCTCCAAATTGTCATCCAAGAAACTTGGACACTACAGAAAGGTTAACTTGTTTGGGTGGCTTTGCGTTGTTTTTCAGACATGGAAGAAAAGGTGAGAAGTTGCAAGACACTGAGGCTCCAGGCCCGAGACGGCCCTGTGGAACTATGTCCTTCTCTGGGTGAGTGGGCCTGGCTTCTCCACACCCACAGCTGGCTTCCCTGCCTTCAGCGGTGGCTCCTTCACTCAGAAAGCCAAACCTTTCTCTTAAGGTTTTGTTCCAAGTGATGTTCCCTTCCCCCCAATAGGTTTCCAACAATGGGCCCTTCCCCACCCACCCTGCCAAGAAAAATCTCCAATAGTTGCAGTTGAGAGTAGACATGAGCAGGCAAGAGTAGCACTTTCCTTGCAGAAGTAGCCAGTCCCTTCTGGAAGTAATGGGAAACAAAATCCTATTTACCAGGCTTCCTCCAGCTAGAGCCCAGCCCACTGCCACCTGTTACAGCCAGTGAGGCCTCAACAGCCAGCCAGGGGGCACCCCAATCCAGGCAGCAAAAAGGCCCTGCCTGCCCGGGGTGGGGAACAGGCTGTTCACCACCCAGGAAGGGGTGCCTGGTGTCCAAATTGAGCCGCCTCCTCAGACACTACCTCGATCTGTAGGCCCATACTGTTCTCGCTGGGAGACGGAATCCCATTTCCATCAGGAGGCTAAGGACAGATGTCTGAAGGTGCCCTGTACTCCTGCCACCCTGGGGGCAGCATCCTTCACTGTACCACCTTCACCCCCTGAACAGCTGCCTCCACTCTCTGAATCGCTGAACTTTTTCTAGAAGGACAGGGCCAGGTCCTTACCTAAAAGCAATGGTGCCTGTGGCCATGCCAGAGAGGACTGCTGTTAGGTCAGGGAGGGTAGGTAGCAGAGCTTCAAAGGCTCAGGGGCACCTGGCCCTTCCCCACTCTCCACGGCTTACCCCACACTCACCCAGGCTTTGGGGGTTTTTAAATTTTTATTTCAAAAGCTTGGATAGCTTCAATATCCAGGTCGTGGCAAAATCAGGACACGTGTAAAATACCTTACAATACATTAGATTCCCAAAAGGTACCAAAAAGTACAGTAAAATTAACACTTCCATTAACAGGAAATGTATGACACAAATAATATAAAATTAAAAGGTGAAAAAAAGGTGACACTGGTTTCCTAAGATACAGTTTACTCTTTACAAGCAGGGTCCACAGGTCCAGGCTACAGAGCGGCGGCAAGTGGCAGACCCTCCCCTCTGGCTCTGGGTAAGCCGGAAATAGAATCCGCCCGTAATGCCGCTCTGGCCTCAGAGACCCCACACGCTGCCTACAACAACTAGAGCTCTGGAAGTAGTCAACAGGAGAGTGATTTCCAGGGGGGAAATTTTAAATAAGATGCACATGGGACAGGCCATAGAAAGTATGCCAAGTTAAATTTGGTACATAATTGTGTTCACTCGGTATCCAAACAAAGCGTGTGCGCTCGGTCGGGCATCCTGCCGAAGCCTCAGTATGGCTTGTAGTTATTCTGATGGCCACCGCGTCGCTGGCTCTTCCCGTAATTTGTACTACCCTGACCTGAGGACAAGAACAACAACGATAGCAGCTACGACTTCCTGAGCCTTCACCCCTGTGCCAGGCGCTTGACATGCATCCTCACCGGAGCCTACGACCCCGTCCGTGGGGGTCGGTCCGTGCCCGCCTTCCTGAGGCCCAGAAGCTCAAGAGCTCAAAACCGGGGAGCTCCGGTGGCCGAGCCAGGCCACACAGCCCCAGCCTGTCCGACTCCAAAGCCCCTGCTGCCGGTGGCCCCTGAGCTGTCTGTCCTGCCTCCCGGGGTGGGTGAGCGGACGGGGGCTCCCTCTCTCCTACTTACTGTAGTCGTAGCCGGGGCCGTAGCCGTAATAGCCATAGGGCGAGTAGTCGTAGCCGCCATAGCCGGGCCCGTAGCCCTGCTGGTAGCCGTAGCCCTGGTTCCAGTAGTTGCCGTAGCCCTGATTCCAACTCTGACTCTGACCTGTGGGGGGAGCGGGCACGGGGGCCCGTGGACCATTTAGCACACGCAGGAGCGAGGATGGAGGAAATCCTGCCCTTTGGGTGGCGGGGCTGCTAATGGCAACTCGGGAGATAGGAAGCGAGGGACCGCCGTCCCGCTGTGGAGGGCCCCAGGCCCGGCCCTGCATCTGGGACCCAAGCCTGCAAGCTGCAGGCTGGGAGAGGACTGAACGCTGACTTCACTCGGGGCAAAAGAGACAGGAGCTCGCTCACTCTCGCTCGATCTCCCTCTCCTCACCCCCACCCTCCCCGGCAGCTCGGCCTTAAAAAGGATGAAGTTCAGGCTTTGGAGTCAGAGGGGCCTGGACAGGAGGTAAAGCGCCTGGCACAGCCCTGCCCTACCTTCGGCCCGCCCGCCCGCAGGTGTACCAAGACTCGGGACAGCCGTGGAGCCAAGCGCACCCGTGCCCCCCACCCCTCCAAATGCAACGCAATCGCCCCTCTGCCCTGGGACCCCAGGCCGCAAGAAAGCCAGGCTCTTCCATTCCCAGCAGCAGCAGGGCGGATGTGACTCGGCCCGGCACACCATGCCCCGGAGGCCACAGTGAGCCCTGAGACAGGCACGGAAGCTCCAGGCAGGCAGGGACCCTTCTACATCCAGGTTCCACTCACCTCCGCCACCGCCGCCACTGCCTCGGTTCCCTCGGTTGCGGTTCCCGCGGCCCCCAGAGCCATACTGCTGCTGCTGATACACCTCTTTGGGCTGGGCCACCTTGATTTCACACTGAAAGCAGAGAGGACAATGGGTCAGGCCACCGGGACAAACTCCAGGCAGGGACTGTGGTCAAAGACCTTTGCTGACAAACATTCAGATGGCCAACTGGGACCACCTGCTCAAACACAAAATCTGCTCCAGTGGGAAGGCACGTCTGGCCTAGCAGCTCTCCGGACCACAACTAAAACCTAGACAGACCAGAACTCACCAGGGTCTTTCCAGCTGAAACGTTTCCCCAAAGAACTTACTGGCAATGACAGATACAACCCCAGGTCTGCTGGTGCCCCCTGGGGCAGCTCCGCATCTAACTGGGGAGATGGATAGTGAGGCCAATGCCAACCCTGTGTAGCAAGATCCTACATCAAGGGGCAAGTCTGACGCCAGCCTGGTCCTATTGGGCAAGGGGGACGAGAGGTGGCTTCCCCTATAAAGAGGCCTTATGGGGAGGGGACCACCTTTCTCACTTTTATTTGGTTTTTTCTCTTTCAGAAGAAATGAAACCTCCCTCTCAAATACATTGAGGTGGTGACCTACAACTTTGAGGAAGAAAACCACTGAGACTCAGGACAAGGCTTCCCTGAGACCTTATCGATACCCAGGCAGGCCCCGCCCCCCACTGGCCTGTTGTCAAGAAGGGCCAGGTATCTGTGTCCCCTTAGGGCCCAAAGAATCAAACTTTTTGCTCAAAAATCTGCCCGCTGTATGTGGTATGAGAGTCCGGGACCTCCCAGTGCTCCTAATTAAATCAGGAGTTTACTTTTTTAAGAGATACCTGGGCACGTATACCTCCCTAATTAGGACTACTGAAAAAAACTATTTTATACAATGTTGTCACTCTACAGGAATACTTTTCCTCAAATGATGCCATCTGATGTCTTCTGTTGAATTAAAAATGCCAAATACATTTATTTCAAAACCCAGTAACAACTGACTACCTTACAGATACTTCCTATCCAGTTCCCAGTAAGACACAGAAAAAAAGACCTCTGTGTCATCCATTGTCCACCGGGGGGAACAATGAATGCATGAGCTCGTACCAAATTGCTCCTAGGACTCAATGTCATTTAAGGGCCCAATCCTGAATCCAGTCTGACTTCCTGGCCAGGATTAAGACTTTTAGGAGCCCCTCCCAACCCATCCCACCTTATCTGGTGGCTGCTCGGGCTCTGAGCCCGCCACACCCAGCCACAGCAGGCCACACCCTCAACTGCCTCCTAAGCCACCTGGAGGCTACCAGAGACAGACTGCCCTCCTTCCCGACCAGAGTTCAGAGGAAAGGGCCACAGCTCCTGCACAGCACTGTGCTCACTCCAGGCAGAACTGGCTGTGGACACCTCAGCTCGCTGAGGCCCTGGGAGTTCGAGAGAGAAAGAACCTTCACCTGGGATGGGAGGTCACCAAACCAGCAGGGAATAAGGATTTGTGGCAAGACCAGAGATAAGCTCCATAGCAGGCAAAGACTTCACCACAGGGAACTGCTAAACAGAAGTTCTAGAATCTTCTGAGACCTTAACTACAGGACTTATTCACCTCAGACTCTAGATTCAGAACACCTCACCCTCTAGCTTTCAATCAGAAATCAAAGGGGCTACTCACCACCCTCGACCCCCTAGAAACCACCCTTTCTCCTTCCTCCCACACATCCCGACTTTCTGCCAATTCTACCGGCCTAGGAACTCCCTGAAGGGCAGGACCATTTGCCCCAATGAGGAAAGCAACTGCTACAGGAAACAGGAGGGTCAGAAGACCCTAGAGAGTCTACCTCCTAACCCCCACCTGTAAGAGCCAATCCTCCAGCAGGAGGCCAGATACAGAGCTCAAGACACCTTACCTTACTTCCACTGATGGTGTGGAACTTTTTCTCCAGAACCTTCTTCACAGGTTCCTCTTCTTTGAAGGTGATGAAAACAAACCCTCTTCTTTTGTTTGTTTTTGGATCCATTGGAAGCTCAATGGCCTCAATCTGTAAAAATACACAAAGCTCAGAACCAATGCCTCTTCCCTCCCTAGGGCCCACAGGAAACTCCCAGGAGCAAAGACCCATGAAGGAAGAATGAACGAGAAGCCTTGCTGAGAGGAGAGCTAGAAACAGTCAAGGCTGACAAGGACCAAGAAGAGAGGGCAACCGGCAGGCCACTCCCAGAGTGACACACTCACCTCCCCAAACTCGCGAAAGTATTCTCTGATCTTCTCCTCAGTTGCTTCAGGATTCAGACCCCCCACAAAAATCTTCTTTACCGGGTCCTTCTTCATGGCCATTGCCTTTTTGGGGTCAATGACACGGCCATCCAGCCTGTGCTCCTTCTGGTCTAGGACCTGTCCCAACAGAAGGAAATTAGGCTCTAACTCAGCAGCATGACCCTGAACAAGGCCCTTCTCGTTGAGCCCCAAAGACCCCCAACACTGCTACCAAAATGTGTACACCCCCTCCAAACTCTACCCGCAACCTGACTTACCAGCTCACCTTCTCCAAACTTCACTTAAAGCTACTCCCCCCATCACTTTCCCTGTCCAGTCTCCGCGTAAAGCCTCTTTCAGAAGTAAAGCAGCAGTGACTAAGAACACAAGTTGGAATCCACCCCTTTCTCGCCTCTGTGAGCTTGTCTACTTAAACTTCGGAGTCTGTTTTCCGCAAACTGGGGCTAAAATAATGCCATATTTCATAGCAACCCGGTACTGTTTTCTGGCCCCCACATTAAGCATTTGCTTCAGCAGTGCCCAGAGCAGACATATACAACATACGAAACACCAACTATAATCTTCCTGGACCACTCCTTCCATACCCATCCCTCTACCTAAACCCGCATGTTTAATTCCTTCATCAACAAAGTTCGTCACCTCTGCCGTTCCCATAGCCCTCAACTGCTTACAGGACACACAAACTAATCACTCTCTAAAATCAGTATCCTCTTAGATACACCTAAGACCGCTGACATCATATACCCAGCTTACCTTCTCCACACTGGTGGCATCTTTGAAGAGAATAAACCCAAACCCTCTTGACCGGCCAGTGTTGGGATCCATTTTTATTGTACAGTCAACGACCTCTCCAAATTTGGTAAAATAATCCTTTAGGTCCTTTTTGCTGGTATCCCAGCTCAGGCCACCAACGAACATTTTTCTGAAATGGTAGAGACACGTGCCAACGAGTCTTTAGGCAGGCTTGTGATTTTAGAAGGGCTGGCCCTGGCAGAACCTTCACTGTAAGGGATATAAACAAGGTGGCCATCCGGCCAAATATCCCCAAGGGAGGGTGCTACCCTCGGAAGGTACTAACAAACCCTCACTACCCTCCCAAACCACCTTGATCCTAACGAAAAAGCTTCAGACACGAAAGCCCCAGGCTGGGCAAGGGAGGGAAGGAAGGACACTCTTGGCCTGGGCTAGACGCCCCTGGAACACACGCAACTGGAAGTCATGTCACTACGAAGAGAGCACCGAAAGGCTGCCGTCCCTGCCCGTCCTCCCCACCCTCGAGAACTCGCCCTCAAGGAACTCGAGGCTTCCGGGGGCCGGAGACCGCGTTCAGACCGTGACTCCGCCCTCCGCGGGGTGGGGGAGGGAGGCCGCCGCCGGGGCGCGCGCCAACTCCGCCCACGCAGCCCCGCGGTGCCCGAGGCCGCCTCGGCCCCGGGTCCGGGCGCACTAACTCCCCACCCCACCCCCACCGTTCGCTTCAGGCCGCCGGACCCCGCGCGAGCGGCCCCGGGGCGGCGCCAAAGTCGACCCAACAAACTCCTGCAAACTCCGGCGCGAGCGGCGGCGTGGCGGGCGCGGAGGGGCCGGGCGGCGGGCCGCGGACCGCGAGCCGCAAGCAGGCCCCGGCCGCCCGCCCGCCCCTCCCCCCGCCGCGTGGCGCCAACAAAAGGCGGCCCCGGAACAAAGGCGGCGCCCCGGTCGGCCCGCGGCCGCACCTACCCCGCGTCCTCTTCGTTCTTGCTGGCGTTGATCTGGTCTCCCTCGGCGCCGTTCTGGTTGCCGGCCGGGGGCGCCGAGCTCCCGCCTCCGGCGCCCGCAGCGGCGCCGGTGCCCGCCCCTGCCGGCGACTCGCCTTCGGGGGCGGCCTCGTGTCCGTTCTCGGTGGCGCCCGTGGTCTCCATGGGCTGCTCCTCACCCGTTTCCGACATGCTAGGCCGGGGCGCGGCGGCTCCTGCAACGAGCGATCACGGCGCGTCAGGCCCGCGCGGCTCCCACCCCGCTCCCGCCCGCCGCCCGCGGGCCCGGCCGCTCACCTCGCGCCGATGACGCCGCGGGGCCCGCTCGTCCCCACCCGCCGGGAAGGCGCCGCGGGCTCGGCCGCGCTCACGCCCGCACTGCCGGGCCTCGCCTCCGTCCGCCGACGGAGCCGCCGCGACCTCGCGTCCCCCCGCTCCGCCGCGCCGCACAGAGCCCACCGACCAACAAGGCTCGCTCAGGCCCGCGCGGTGCCGCCGCCTGACAATGCCGACTCGTGGCGCTCTTTATAATGCCGGGACCGGGCCGACCGCGCAACAAGGCGCGTGTTCATTGGCTGCGCCCGCCCGTCACTCAACCCCTCTCCGGCGTCCCATTGGCCTCAGCGGCGCGCGCACGCTAAATCCAGGCGGGCTTTTGTCCTCATTTCGGAACCCGCGCGAGCTAGGGCCCTGCGGAGGGTTGTCGCGGCCAAGTGGTACCACAGTCCTGTCCCGAGCGGCCGGCAGCCCGAGCCCAGCTGCAGAGGGGCCAGAGACGGTCTCCTCCGCTCTGTGAGGCTGCAGTCTCTCGCCCCGATGCGCCCCATCCCAGCACTGGTAGCTTCGGCCACTCTGATTTTCCCAAAAGAGGAAACTGGACTCTAGGAAATCTCGCCAACCAAGGTCGCTTGGCTGGAAGGCGCAGAACTCGGACTGCCGAGAAGCGACGCCCGGGGTTCCCCGAAGGCCTTCGACAAGGACTCGAAGGGATTGGGACGCAACTCGCCCTCCCCCTTGACCTTGGTGCACTGACAGCCCCGTGCTCCCGCCCTTTCTGCCGCTTCCCCCGGTGGCGAGAAGCGGACAGGGGGTGGAGCCCGCCGGGCGTCTGGTGCCAGTGGTGCTCGCGCAGGATGTGGCGGGAGAACCATGGGGACCATGGTCTTCCCCAGTCTTAGGTCGTCCGGCAGCACTTAGACGATTAGCGTTGTTTTTTATACTTTGAGTTAAAATTTTCACTTAGGTTAGTTCATTTATTTCTGCTGAATGTTTTTTAAGTTTGTCTATTTTGAGAGCGAGAACAAGCAGGGGAAGGGCGGAGAGAGAGGGAGAGAGAATCCCAAGCAGGACTTGCGCTCTCAGCGCAGAGCCCGGAGCCAGGCTTGAACTCACGAACCTTGTGATCATGACCTTAGCCGAAATCCAGAGTCAGAGGCTCGACCAACTGAGCACTCAGGTGCTCCTGAAATTTCTTTTTAAGAGAATCAATATGCCACTTCCCTGAAATCACGAAGTTGGAGCGGGGCGGGGATGGTTCTCTTTTTCCAGTATACAAACCCCCTTAATTTGATATCCTTTACCACCAAGCTTGAAAGGCCTGTGTAATGCTGTGATTCCTTTTCGTCATCTGGGTGACCTGGCCGGGAATGGACCAGGATTACAGCCTCTGAAGCCTGGGGATTACCAAACAACAACAGAACCCAAGTAGCTGATGTTTCCCCCTGAGTTCCTGCAGCCAGGCCCAGTGTGGCCAGCTGGAGGTTCTATTTTCTTATCTGGCCTGCTGACAACCCTCTGGAAGGTGATACCGTCACAAATTTATACATGAGAAAATGGAAACCCAGAATTGAGCTGTGGCCCAAAGCTCACTCCTTTATCCAGCCGGCCAGTGGAGATGCACTAAGGATGAAAAATGTGACAGTTTCTCATTGTGAAAAAATAATGGGCTTCAGAACATCTGATGATTTGGTCACAGAGCATTGGATTCTCCCAAGGTATCAACCAACTAGGCCCCCGCCCCCAGATGAG